TGCTTTTTAATTATAATAATTAATGATAAATTTAAAATTTTTTATTAAAAGTAAAGTTCACTTTGAATTTCATAAAAAGTCTGCAAAAAAATACTTATTCTCCTGTTCGTTACAATTTTTGCTTTATGCTTTTTGGTTGTATACGCGTTCTTGTAAAAGTTCTAATCATGTGAACTGTTTACATTACACCTGATCGTCTAAAAATAGCTTATTTTTGTTTTTTTTTTTTATTTTTTAAACAATAAATTTTATTTTTCTGCTTTTCCAAAAAAAAATGCCAAAAAAAACTGAAAGAAAGAACACCAACCGCGGTTGCTCTACGTCGCCAATATCTGATAAACTACCAAAAAAGAAACAAAATACTCCGCAAACTTCAGACAATGACCTCACTCTTATTTATGTAAAGGAACCTCTTGTAACTGTCCTTCCAGAAGAGACCAACACCATGGAAGTCGACCCAGTCGAGAAAAGTTTGTCTAGCAACCTCAACAAAGGAAAAATTCCTGATATTATTGCTTCAACTTCTTCAACTTCTGAAACTACTGCGCCTAAACTGACAGTTAGTGTCGACGAGTCTTTCAATATGTCAGAAAATATCTTAGATACTATAACAATCGGCTTTGATGCTCCTTCAACCCAAGTTACTAAATTTTTTGCTTACATTCCAATAGATAAACTTTGTGGCCCGAACCCTCAAATGAAGATCTCGCAGATTACCGATTTGTATTATGACAAATATAACTCATTTATTATTACTACAAAAGGAAGACATCCTACCGAGCACAACCAGGCTATTATTAAAGTTGCCTTTTTAGACAAAGTCAAACGTGATGAATTTTGTAAATACAAATCTCCCGATATAGATGATACCACGTTCCTTCCTCTTGATATAAAAAAATCTGCGCCTTACGTATCCGTTCTGTCGATCATAGTCACAGTAATTCCACTAGACGCTACAGAAACAAGATTACGAAAATTGTTTTCCAAATTTAATAATATCGTTCGTTTCACCATGGAAACCAAAAATCTTTGGCAAAGAGCTACCATCACTTTTGACGAAAAAGCAAATTTTGAAGAACTAAAAAAAGGAGATGGGATTTATCTTCTAAATGACATAATTCGCTACTATCCTTGTAGCCTTTCTAGGAATGAAATTCAAGCCCGCTCTGCTTTCTCAGCAAAACTTACAAATCTTCCTCAAAATATTACACCACGTGACCTCTATGATATTAGAAATATGGTCGCAGCTTCCGCATAGATCATCCCCAGAGCTCGTTCGAACTATAATTATTTGCAATACACATTCTTCTATTTCTCCAACAAAGAAGATGCTCAAGCTGCTTTGAATATAAAAAATTTAACTCTAAATAACAAAAAATTGGAATGGACTAACCCAAAAGCCAAATTATATGCAATTTGTTCCTCGACACATCATAACGCTTCTACTTGCCCAAGACGCCATTAATCTCCCAAGGATCGCAACATGCAAAATCTTTACCAGCGATTCCAACTAGCTCAATTTACTAACTACATAGCACTAAAACGTAGCCTATACGAGGCGCTGTTCGTGAAAATATCACTTTTGCCCACGTGACCAAAACTCCACAACAAATCATTAATTCTCAAAAAGGACCAAAAAGGAGACCTCCCCCACCTCCACCACCTAAAGAAAAAAATAGTAATAAGAATAATATTAATACCTCTTCACATAACAGAGAACTGAGATTGCATTGGGCAGACGAACCTATTAATAAGTTCATGAAAACCGAAGTTCTCTCTACACCTAAATTAGATAATAGAACCGCAAAAGGTAATTCAATCCATGATCCAGATTTCAAACAATTTGTCACAACTCAGCTCACTTCTATTTCCAACGCTCTCTCTGACCTCTGTGTCGAATTTAAATTTTCGCAACAACGTCTTGCTGTGGTGGAAAAAGCCCTTCATATTCAAGTCATCACTCCAGCAGAGGCGGATGACTATAATGGCAACTTATCTGATTCTGCCACTGAAGCTGATCATAAATCCCTACACATCAACACTGATCTTTGCATCGTTCATTTGCAAAAACAATCAAATGAACAGCTAATTCTTATCTGCCAAAAACAACAACAACGAATTTCGCAATTCACTCCTATATTAAATAAGTTACTCAAATCCTACCATGATCTCCAAACTACACTCCTTAACAAAAACATCCTTAACAAACATAATACACAGATTTTTGAACCACTAAATGATGATTTTGATAAAGCCATTGAACGCTGCATCGGCAGCTTCCCAAATTAATTTCTACCTCTATCATGATTACTGTCCCTACAATGATTAATACTACCACTCCTAGTTCTCACACTCCTACTATACCAAATATTAGAATCGCCACTCATAACGTCCGTTCTTTAAATGACCTAACAAAACAAAATTACCTTTTTTCCTTATATTCAGTAAATCAATTTGACATTATAAGCCTACAAGAAACTAATTTCAAAGGAAGTTCATCTATTTTTAATCGTAATTTTCCAAATTATACTACTTTCTTTAGCAATAACCAAAATTCCTGATCTATTGAAACTGGTATTAGCCTCTCTTTCAGCCCCATTATCGTTAAACACATTTTTACCTATGACTCTATTTTAGATAGAATTATTTACATAAAACTTCAATTTGCTAACAAACAAAAATTAATGATAATTAACTGTTATATTCCGCCCGCCAACCCTTCAACAGACATCACATTACAATCTGTTAAACTATTAAAACGTTTATTAGACAATGCCACCAAAAATGATATGCACATTATTCTCATGGGAGATCTAAATGCTGATATAGACCGCAAGAACAACTCCTTCTTTAATTTAAATTTTGTCAATTCCCTTACCAATTACAATCTATATGATACATTCAACGTTCAATTTAAAGAAAATCATAAATCATACCCATCTTTTATTAACAGAAATTTTTCGTCAAGAATAGACTATATCTACATAACACCTGAATTAGCGCTTAATATACTTGATTATAAAACTGTTCAAATAGATTCTTCCATTACAGACCATCATTTAATCTCAACAAAAATAATTAATTTCTTAAAACACT